TATATATATATATATATATATATATATATATATATATATATATATATATATATATATATATATATATATATATATCTTTAAAATACACACAAAGAAATAAAAAGATTTTTTTTATAACTCATTCTATATTTTTATATATATTTATATATATATATTTTTATATATATATTTCTATATATATATATATATATATATATATATATATATATATATATATATATATATATATAGCAGAAAACTACATAACGCAATTGTTTTCCATGATCATGCAGCTCAAATTGAACGTTTTTTAAAATTTCTTTTTATTTTTATGTGTGTATTTAATACATTAATATATGTATAATTTTAGGCATGAATATATTGTATAAAATGTTTGTTTAGGTTTATTTCAAGATATTTCTTTTGTATATTTTTCTATTTTATACACAGTATATGTGTATTAATTCATAAATACCTGAATATAAACAGCACATATGTGTAAATCCAAACTTTCATCAAGTACCTGAATAATTGTGGATAATTATTTGACAGCATTAATAAAACTAGCCATGTTTCCATCCATAAACATTTAAATTTACTCAAAAAAAACATGCATAAATCAGAATTGAAACACATTTATTGTTATTAATGTATTGTTAACATGAATAAGCAATTCACCAAATCTGGTTCACATTAGGTCGTAAAACCCACTGAGTGTGTGTGTGTGTGTGTGTGTGTGTGTGTGTGTGAGTGTGTGAGTTTGTGAGTGTGTATGTGTGTGTGTGTGTGTGTGTGTGATAATTCAAAGCATATTCATACTGAAGCTCTGCATGGAGATGCATATTAATGCGCTGTACTTCCACTGCAGAGTCTGAAACACTCATGAATTATTCATCATCTTATATTATCGGAGAGTCCGGATCAATCATAAGCGTTTACGCATTACTGGACCATTAGTGCTGGAGGTTTGCAGCTAAAACAGAGTCGGATCTAAACTTAGAGCTAAAAGAGCTTATGAGGGGAATGACGGAGACGGCTGGGGATGAGATTAGAAAAAGAAGGAGAAAAAAGAAGAGCAAAGAGCACACTTTACAGAGAAGAGCGCGAAGCCAGCATTACTGGACACACAGAGCGACTAAATGTGAATCTGAATGCTCACATCTGAATTCAAATACATGCAGGAAACATTCATAGAAAAATCCCTCTAATATCTACAACCTATTACTGTTTTATTTGCTTTAATTTGATATTTTTTTGCTTATAATTATAATTTTTAAAGGTCGAATATAAATTAGGTTACATTTTAGAGAGGGACTTGTGGAAACAGTAGTAAAAATAGACGTGAAAATGCCATGTTCAGCTTAAATGAATGCCAATCTTCAATGCTTTGATGCACAGATTCAGGCTTGGTCTGATTTTGAAGTAGACAGATGTCAGATTGTAGCTGACGTGAAAAAGGTTTTAAAAAGTTAAATAAAACATAAGTTATGTGCCTTTATGTTTATGAAAACAATAAAACAATAAATGTTTATGTTAAAATTAAACATAAATAATGCATATTACAAAACATGCTTTAGCCTGAAATTGACCAAAATTCAAAGTTAAATATAAGAACTAATTATATTGCAAATTTAAAGATATCTAAAAAATGTTTTGCTTTTGTTAAGATGTAGTTTGGCTGCAGAGCACCAGACATGCCCACCAGAAAATTTTGCCGTCAGTTTGGCAAGTCACATTTTGTTAAATAATTTAGTAGTTCAATAAAGGCGACACGGTGGTGCAGTAGGTAGTGCTTTCGCCGCATAGCATGAAGGTCGCTGGTTTGAGCCTTGGCTGGGTCAGTTGGTGTTTCTGTGTGGAGTTTGCATGTTCTCCATGTATTTGCGTGGGTTTAACGCCCCATTCACATGGGGCTTCAGCATCAACGCTTGACTGAAGGCGTGTCTGAAGTCGGGGCTGAAGCGATCGTCATAGAAGGGTCAGCCAATGAAATTCAGTCAGCAATAGGCCACTGTCTAGCTGGTGTATTTGCATACAGCGATCTGATTGGCTGACGCTTCCGTCGGCGCTTGAAAAGTTGAGCTAGTCCCAACTTCTGCAGCAAGCAACGACGCTGAAGCAGCGCCGACGGATCCACAATGCAGTTCGGCAACGCCTGACGTCACCCATTCAAAGTGAATGGGAAGCATTGACGCTGACGCCACGTGTGAATGGGGCGTAATACTTGGCTCCAGTTTCCCCCACAGTCCAAACACATGCGCTGCAGGGGAATTGGGTAGGCTAAATTGTCTGTAGTGTGTGTGTGGGAATGAGTGTGTGTGCGAGTGTTTCCCAGAGATGGGTTGCAGCTGGAAGGGTATGCACTGTGTAAAACATATGCTGGAATAGTTGGCGGTTTATTCCGCTGTGGTGACCCCTGATTAATAAAGCGACTAAGCTGAAAAGAAAATGAATGAATGAATGAATGAATTTAGAAGTGCAATAAAATACCAGCACATTTTCCATATTACTTTTTTTT